TTCAATTTGTGTATTACACAAATCTTTCCACGAAACAGGCAGTTTTAAGTGCAAAAGGTGCGAAAGTGCAGAATCACTCCAGCATCCCCTTAAGGAAATAACATTGTGGCTCTATTTCGCGCAGATATCCGAGCGCGCGATATAACTGTGCGACGATAAGTTCATCGTGCAATTAAGTTTATTTATTAATCGGAGCGTGAGAAATGAGGATATACACAGTGTTGTATTTTTAAATTAATATATATATATATATATATAATTCTTAATCACGTGGATTTTGCGGAGGGACTTTTGATGACGGGGCAAAGTTGGGAACGGAGTCGGGGCGGAGGACAAAGAATCTAAGGAGTGTACAATATACAATACAAGTCACGGAATATCACGATTCTCGTGTTAAGAAGTTAGATCCGCTTTTGACGCGCGCGACCCACGTCTGAACCGCTCGTTCTTTCCTTCCTTGTCCTTTAACCATTTCTGTTTTATTGCTTTTCCTACTTTTCTCGTCGACGACGACGACGACGATGCTTCGAGCGCAGGACCGTGCTTACGTCTCGAAGGAAGCCACGAAAATAATGCGAGGGATTGAGCAAATTCCCGAAGGCTCGCGGGAACTCGAGGCTCGAGGCGCGATCGGAAACGAAAGTCTCCGACTGTAGTTTGAATTGCCCGCGGACAACGGCAGACTTGTAACCATACACGATCGAGTCATTAAATTGAAGGAGCAGATGGACGAAGAAAATGTAACCCCTGCAAACACTAGCGGTAACATTACATATCCACACCCACAGAAAAAATTGCCGGATCCAATGCTATTACGCTTCAATGTATCACGAAATGGGATCGATATAGCGAGAATCATATTTATTACAGAGAGAGGAATATTTTAATATCTTGAATGAAAAATTCTAAAATCTAGAATAAAATGATAGTATGTATCGTCTTTTGCCAACTTCGTGCGTTGTAAGATGGAGGGAAAAGTTATTCTGAACGCGAGAATATATAAAGTTACTCTTGTCCCAATACAGTAAGTCAATCTTTTTTAATTCGATAGAGGACAATAAGAATTATTGATTTTATTTTGATACCGTCTTATTTTTATACCAAACGAGGTTGAGAGAAACTTCGTCGGGAATATTTTTTGTCTCGCTAACAGAAATCCTTTCTGAGGGTGCACATCACAATTTCCTATTCCCACAATGTGACTGTCATGTACAACATGCGTTATATTACACTTACGTTGCCGAGCGGGAAATTGCAGCATTGATGCAACGCTACTGTTTGCCGGGATAACGTCCCCGCGAGGCGTCACTGGTTTCAGCGATAAATTAATACGTTCGCATTAATGTGACTTAATATTGTACATGGACTCTTCGTATCCACAGGCTAACTTCACTAAGAACCATCACAGCACTAAATTGATAATACACTTTACGTACCGATACGTATGATACAATGGGGAATAATTATCCATACAAATAACTTAACGTGCGTAAGAATGTGACAAGCCTTCTTCATCCACTTGCCTGTTCAATCGCGTATCTGTACACACCGATCAGTTTCTACTTCCGCACCGGAACATCGCTTTTCGTACCGTGTATTTAGCGTTAAATATGGCAATTCTCGTTTGCGCGTATCGAGTTTTTTTTTATACATATACATACGTAAGTAAAATTCAGGTCCGGAGAGAAAATTCAGGTGAGAACCATATTTAGCGCTGAATATAATATAAACAAATTGGAATAAAGCAAATATATGTACAACGTTTATACCAGATATATCTGAACAGGGTTCATTAAAATCAACACGCGTAAACGAATTAAGGGTTCCGCGTAACAACAAGTAAATAAAGTAATAAAGATCTGTGGAAAATATTTATCCGATTTTTAGTAGCGATTTTTTTTCATCGCTGTGACAAGAGTTCTCCGATCAACGTACTAATAAAAAAAAGTCTACCTGGCGTTCCGTCTACCAGATTATAGAATAGGCATCTGGTTCTCGCTTAAAGTATGATGAACAACGATCGTCGGATCCGTTACTCGGCAACACAATCCCTATATCGATTTTCGAACGCACTCGTCCCTCGATTTACGCGGAGCACTCGTTCCACGTAGTTCCTTTTTATGCGGTTGAGAATCGCGCCGGTATAAAAAAAAACCATAATGTAAGAGAAAACCCCGAAACACTTTCATAGTCAACGTGTCAACAAGATTATGCTTGTTCCTCTTTGACTCTGGCTTCCTTTTCCACGTAAACGGGAGGGATTTTTGGTGCGTAAAAAAAGTACGGCTTAAATCGAGGGATAAGTGTATTCATTTCGAATCGCTTGGAAATCTTCGTGATAAATTTTTTGCATTGGATCAAAGTGCCCGTCAGTAGCGATTTTTGTTTGTGGAAACCTTGGCCGACCGCAGTAGTTTATTAGAACAGCCGAACCGATTAAGTTTCATCCGCGGTAGTTGCGCTCACAGCTCTGCTCGATTATTGCTTTCGGATTTCAGAACACTTCGCTCCCTTGTAATCGATTCGGATGTACAGGCATATTACAACGACGATGCTGGGCCCGCTTAACGGGTATCGCAAAATGGAGCAAAGCTGATTAAGACTTCCAAAAGTCGATATATCTCTCGTTTTAGTCAGTACGTTATGGATGTTTAATAATCAGCGCGTCATATCACGTTGCGCTCGTGCATGAATTCCACGTTTCTATAAAACCGAAGTTGATATTAATTGGCTATCGAATATGCTGAAAGTTAATACGCGCTCTAAGAACCTTGAAATCTCGGCTTGGTAAAAAAATCGGTTGAATAGCCGCGCGAAATTATTTTTATACATTCGTGTAAATAATATATAATTGTACATAATTCATTTACTTCGTCCAGCTGTTGACTTACCTTTTTGCAATTAGCGAACAACGGCAACGAATTACTTGAAACGAGAGATCGACTTAGAAGATCCGCCCGTGTCTTTCTCATTTTACGATACTCGACGTTACCGCAGGATCGAAAACGCGTGGGAGACGTGACAGCGATTAGTCGAATTACGACAGAGTGGCTTAGAATACGAATGAGAAGCCGATCGTCGATTGCACAACGAGATGATGGACGTTAAACGCCACGAGAGGTGCACTGCGCCGGGGTATCGAGTCGATCTTTCGATCGTCGCTGCAAATGTGCAGCGTGCGGACGTGCGGCGCATTCGCATTGTCACAGTGCGTGCAAACGATAACGGCCTCCCATTCTCGGACATCACGGGAGAATCCCATTCTCGGAGACGTTCCCTTAAAAAAAAAAGAAAGAAAGAGAAAAACACCGCCGCGGCTACGTTCTCCCGCGAGCATCGCGCGATTTCGCCTTAAATCACCGTTATCTCCCATCCCGGACGTCAGGTTTTTCTCTTTAGACCGCTTCTATTGTGTTACGTACATGCAGCGTTCGCGATAGCGAATCCCTCTACTCCCCAAAGCGACTCGCGCGAGCTTTGCGAATTTTACTCGACGCTCCCATTACGCACGTCTGGTAATTATTTACACCGATCGTCACTATTTATACAAATTACAGGCCGGCTCGGGCTTTTAAGCGGCGCGGTGGGACTCCAGTTATATAATTCAGCAATCGAGTCTTGAGCAATTATTGTAAAATAAGAAATTGCCTCTTTCTTTCGAATTAGAAAATTTAAGGAAATATATCCGACTTCCCCAGTCGAAATTTTGGCCCTATGTTGAACCTTTAATTCTATTATACAGTAGGACCTAAGACAGTAAAAATTTACTTCTACTTTAAAACTGATAGTGTCGGAAATTTCTACTTTTGCCAATTTAGCATTAAAGTAGGCGCTTTTAAGTAGGAGCTAAAGTAAATTTTTAGAATTAAAGAGAGGAGAGAATTTTCAAGGGAGGGGTAAAAAATTATAATGTCATCAAAGTAGTTTATCGCTGGTCTATGTAGGTGTAAATTATCTTTAAAAGTGTCAAAATAGTAACAAAATTTCGACTCGGGTTATGATGCTTGACAACAGCGTGAAAATATCATTTTTGACAAATAATTTCTCTATAATCGTAAAGTAACAAGACATTAAGCAACGACCACCGACGATCACAAGTGCGACGTATTCTGATCTACAAATAAATAAAAGGATTCTCCCCGTAAAGAAAGTACGCGCGATTCGTCGACAGTGACGTCCGAGTGAAAAGGAGTGAAAAGCTGGGTCGCCCACCGCGTTGTTTCGACCGACGGCTTTACCTCTTCGATGCACGTTCGAAGGACGCGAGTCTCCGGGCGATGTGGAATTTCGAGAACGAGAGGATTCGAGAGTGGCACTGCCTTCTCGGTGAACCAATCCGCGGTTTACGCCGCGTCGCGTTGCTTTTTCTATGGATCGTCGACTCGGAGGGGGGACCCCCCCCGAGATTCCTCGGATTTGGGATCCCTTGCGACTTTTACTTAGCGTTTTCGAGGCATAAATCGGACAGCGTGCGTTTATGCGTTCCACGTCTCTCTAGTCTTTATAATATAATAATATATTTAATAATTAATACAGAGAGAGTAGATGTTATTTATATTTATAATATAATATTTATATATAATATATATATAATATCACTAGGGTACATATGTACAGGGGTTGCAAATAGTAGGAGGTGCTCTTATATTGCAATATCGTTCTCTGTTTTCTTCCCTTAAGACCTAACGTACACAGGTAGAACGTAGACTCACACGTGACACAGGTACGCGCTCGTAGACTTTTTCCCTTTTTCTTCTTTCTCTCTCTCTCTCTCTCTCCCTCTCTCGCACTCATATTTTCCTCTTATCTCATTCACTCTCGCGTCTCATCTAATTTACAGCAACGCGCGATCGGTGCAGCGTCCGTCGAGAGTCCAACGCACCCCCCGCCTCGCGGTCCTTCCAACAGAGACGCACACTCCTATCGTGCTCTCGCGCGAACCGCGTAGTCTATTTACAGATACAGGAAACACGCGGGGGACTCCAGGTTCCGTCCCGAAAGCACGAAGGGCGCCGCTCCCGCTCCCGAGAAGGACTCTTCTCGGGCGCGGCGCCGCTCCGGAAATAAAATTGCACTTTGTAGTATGAGAGTCCGGCCTTCCTCGCTCCCGTCCGGTGCGGCCAGGACCCCCAAATAGGATGAGAAGACAGGGAGAACCGAATGCCGACCAGCCAACAACGTTCCCGCCGCTACGACGGCTCCGACGTGGAGTCCGGCTCCCTCTCGTCGGCGGAGAGGTCCTCCGGGTCGCCGCCGGACTCGTCGGCGCAGTCCTCGTCCTCGTCAGGGTCGTCGTCCTTCGTGCTGCTCACAGGCTCGTTCTCCTGTCACGGACTCCCCCCGCCGGCGTCGTCGCCCCGATGCCCGGGCGTCAGACTCGGACTTCTCCTTCTCTTCTCCTGCAGCCCGTTCACCATGTTCTCGATGGACTTGAGCTCACCGGCGGAGCTGGGTGTCGTCGAGGTGAGAGCACCGCCGCCGGTGGGCGTCGGCGAGTCGGTTGGCGGCCTCGGCGGCGGTGACCTCGGACTTAGGGTCCTACTACCGGGGGTGACGGTCTCGAAGGCTGAGCCGTGCGAGGGCGCCGGGAGTGTGTAGGGCGCGAATCTGTGCCCCTTGAGCTGGTGCAGGGGACTGGCCAGGGGATGGGGATAGTGCGCGAAGAGCGCCGGATGCTGGGCCGCCAAGGCCAGCTGGGCGTTAAACAGCATACCGGGCGTGACCCCGCCGTGGAGTCCGAGGGGAGTGGGTGGTATCAGGTGACCGGGACCGGGATAAAGTCCGGGCACCGGTGGGTACAGATACGGCAAGAGGGGCGGGTGCAGCGGCGGGCCGACAGAGACGTCCGGCCGTGGGCCCTCGGACCCCGTCGGCCCCGGCCCGCCACCGCTCTCGGACCCGGACGATTCGCTGCCCTCGCCCCGCTCGCTCGTCCGGTCGTCCCTCTCTCGCGAGTGCTCCCGTTCCCGGTGGTGGTGGGCCGGGTGCGGCGTGTCAGGTCCGACCACGTCCAGCAGCTTGTCCTCGTCGTCCATGAGGTCGGTGGCGGAGTTCGACGAGCGCCGCTTGTCCGGCGACGCCGGTCCACCCGCTGTCAAACGGGAACCGCCGCCCGATACTGTCAGCAGCGCCTGCCTTCTGCAACAACGACGCGGAGTTAGCAATCTTGCGGGGTTCGCGAGTCTCGCTTAATTATTTTCCGCCTCGCGAAATCCCCTCGCCATTTTTCTACCGCGTTTCAAAATTAATTAAGTTATCCTTGCCCCGCGAAACATGAGTCGTACGTTAATGTTAGACGTGCGAGCCTCGACGTCGTCGCAGGGCGGATTATAAAGATACTCGTTGCCTCTGTGTTTCTAGATTGATTATTGATTTATGGAAAGGCGTGGTTAGCGAGTTATCAATCGTTAGGAAACGTTAGCGGAGCTCCGCGGCCACCGGGTAAATGGGTTCCGCCTATTTCGATATGATTTATCGACGTTCGCAAGCTGACAATCTTTTGAGACGCGCGAATGCCCATTGATTACGGCACACTATAATTGGCTCGGAGAGTATAACGAGAGGGTCGGTGATAAAGTTGCCTCCCTCCTTGGCAGCGGCAATTTCGACGCTAAATCGTTCACGCTGGACCTCGCTGCGGTTTTGTTAGCATACCGCGTATACGTGTATCTCAATCGAAAACTGCGACGAAGACGAGCGCGCCCGCCGCGCAGCACATCCTCATCCGGAAGATTGCGAGAGTCAATCGGCGATTTCTATCTACACTAGCGCAACATCTCGGCGACGTTCTCGCTCTGTGTGCCAATTGATTTACTGGTCAATTGATATTCAGCATAACGAAGAATCGAGATTGCAAGTAGACCGTGTCGCGTTAATTCTGAAAAACGTTATATGGAAACCATTGCAACACGGGAAAAAAATGTTGTATCAACAAGATCGGTGTAATTGAAATAAAATCGTTGAAATAACACGAGTATTAATGAATGAAAAACATCGGATTGTCTTAATAATCCGAATATTTGGTGGCAGCCCGTGACGTTAACGTTTAATTCGAGCAACTTCATTTTTTTTCGTGTACAAATATAAGTCAGAATAATAATTTATCGTCGCCTTAGGTCCGAGATGGACGAAAAACATTGTTCAACGGTGATTTCGGATGACAAAGCGGAGTGTGGAAAAATCACAGGGGTGGCTGAACGTAAAAAGAATCTAAAGAATAAATGGCTGTACAGTTATTTTACGTAGTGACTCAATGAGTAGTAGCCACTGCTCCTATTCAATATGCTGCATAGTTGAATTACAGTTGAATAATGTTATTCTTTTAAGTTTTGAATTCCGCCATCTTGAATCCGCAATTTTTAATTATGAAAATCTGATAACGGATTCGTAGTCAGCGACCCCAAAAACCCTTGTATACAAAGTTTCACAAAAAATGGTTCAAGCTTACTCAAATGAAGCAATTTTATATAATTCAATCAAGACAAATATATGCTTATTATTTTGGAATAATTTTCTTGAATGGAAAGGAAACAATAATGAACAGAAAATAACATACTTTCAAATCGAAGATTATAATGATTAAAATAATTTTATTGTCAAAATAATTAACGTATTCTTCAAGTGACAATTATAGTATTTAGATAAGACTGTAATATTGTTGGAATGTACGATTATCAGATACTTCTAAGAAGATAATAGATTGTTGCGTAAATACAAAACAATGAACGCGTTAATTTGAGTATGTAAGAGTTGGCCGGACACTTTTCCTGTGTACCATGTGTAGTAAAATTTATTACTTTAACACAAATCGCGTTAAAAAGACAACTACATTTTCTATTCAACCCATTTCATGGATTTTTTTAACTCCATTGTTTAATTAACCTAACGACAGCGAGTAGGAGCAGTGGCGACTACTCATCGAGTTAAATTTAACAGTGCAAACTGCATCAAATAAAGGGACATAGAAAAGTAGAGAAGAAGCCTACGTTCAGCAGTGAGAAAGATATGGGTCTCAATAGTTCGCCAAACTAACTTCAATTTGCGACATAAGATTATACCAAAAAAAAAAAGATTCTACAGACGTGCGAGTCTAATCGCGCAGATATCGCGTCTAGAGATGAACACGCGGTCTATTTATGAATCTCAAGTGCGGGACTTCTCCGAAACTTTGACACGCGGGTATTGCGTAAAGTGTCATTTCGATTGAATTGAGAAACTGTGAAAATCTCAGAGCCGCCGATATCCGCGCGAATGAAATATCGGGCTCGTTAGCGACGTGCGTCGTACCGGGTCGTCGCGCGCGCGCGAGGGGAACGGAGGCGCGATCAATGCGATCGCGATTCCGGGAGACAGAGAGGTATTGTGTCGTAGGAAATCAAAAGGCCCCGACGCTAAACGCGGCGACTCTCGAGCCGCGCGCGGCTTCGCTCGCGCACACGCGGTGATAATTCACGCGGAGCGGAGCGGAGCGGAGCCGGCGCGGCGCGCGGCGTCGGCGCGATGCAGTAAACGAGGCCTCGGGATTTATGCGAGCGCCCGGTAGCTGTACTGCCTCGAGGCGCGGCCGTGGTATTAGATTAATTATCTTAATTGCGCCTTCAACGCCTTTCCTATGCGGCAAGTGTCTAGCGTTCTCGCTCGCTCGCGCGTGCGTGCGTTGCCTTCACGTGCGCTTAACTTTATGCCACTCGCGGCTATTTGCACTTATAAACAGACGAGTAAGAGAGAGAGAGAGAGAGCTCGTATGGTGCAATTCGCGCCTCTGTATGCGTGCGTACGTACACAGGCGGCTCGCATAAACGGGCGGCGTGTCGATAGAACCCTCAAGATATACGCACGGCACGATTACATTGCGCTCCCGCGACGACGCCGGTACGACGCGGAGAGAACTTTTTTTTTTCCGCGAATCGCGAGCTAGGTGCGCGGAATCGAGAGTGATTTATCGCCGCTGACGTCCGGCCGCCTCTGCACCTCCGCAGTCCCGGAGTCACGATCATTTTTCATCGATGCCGCGGCGATATCGTATCGCCTCGCGACGCACGCCGATCCTATCCGCCGATTGCCCCCAGGGCGACGTGTTTCTCTCGCCCCGATCGTCGCGGAGAATCGCGTAATCCCGACCCGCGATTTATCGGGCCGCGTTTACGCGGACGCGGCCGTTTACATAAGAGAAATCGAGCGCGGATTTAACGAATTTCTGATTAATCCTATACGTTAACGAATTCTTTCGTCCGTTTCTAGACTTCGATTTGTTCCCACGACTAATTAAACGTGTAGAGAAACGGCGAACGAACCCAAAAAAAAAAACACCACTGAGCCCATCGCTAAACGGTGCGACCGGTCTCTTTCGCGGCGAGCGGGAATAAAATTCAACGCCTCTCTCGCGAGCCCTCGGGAAGAGGGACTCGGTACCTTACTCGAAAGTCCTATACCGAGCGCACACGGCGGACTATTGATTCGACGCGCTCTCGCACTTACGTACGAAAAGCAGAGAGCCTGCACACCCTTTCGGGGCAGCGACGAGTGCATGTCACGGATGCATCCACGAGGAGGAGCGCGCGCGAGGCGGATGCACCTCGGGCGAGCGAGCGAGCGAGTCTCTGTGTTGGTGAACTGATCGCATTACATGGCATTAAGACACCGGTAAGCCTCTCGTTGTGCGAACGGCTATAGCCCGGGACTTACACGAGGTTTAGGTTTGTTCTGCCTGCACGAGAGACGATGCATTAGATTTGCCCGAGCCCCCTCGCTTTTCCGCGCCGCGCGCCCCCTTAACCCCGGCCCGTCGTTCGACTCGATTGTCGACGGTAAACGTACCATCGAGTTTCCTTTGCGTGATTAGGAGCGTTCCAGGAAATTTTGTTCGAGCCCGCCGAAAGGATCCGTGTGCGCCAATTAATTCTGTATTAGGTTGCGGAATCGAGCATTCCGGGCATGGCGCGATTATGTGAGGAATTGCGGTGCGCTCCCCGTAAAGCTCATATCGTTGTCTAAAAGGCTTCGCGTGGGGAAAGATAAACCTTCCATTTCCGAAATAGTCTTCGCAAATACATCATCGTCGCGATCTCGAGCGAGCCGGCAAATGACGTTTCGGCATGAACGTAAGTAAAAGGTCGAGATCGCACGGCAAGAAGTGGAACGAGAGCGAGAGAGAGAGAGAGAATATTGACACGACCGTATCGCAAATAGGACACTTCACGGCTGTCAACTACATGTTATTCTTAGCGTTTTCGCTGTCGCCCCAGATGTATAATAAAACGCGAGACTACCGAACGAGGTGAAACGAATTTTTCTTCTTTTTTTTTCCTTTTCTGTCGTAACACAAATCGGGGATGAAGCCTAGGGCTGGTCCGGCTGCAGTTATATCTCGCAGGAATGCTTTGCAATGCGGAGAAACGCACAGGAATCCCAGCGATTTCCACTTTGCGGATAATTAACTGCAAAAGTTAAGTAAAACTCGCCGGCTCCGGCCAGATTTCTCGGCGCGCCTTCGGCCACGCTCATTAATCAGCAGACGTTCGCGGTGATATAAACGAGCGTCGATCGGCGAAAATTAACCACGGAGACAATGGCCAGCGTCACGGATATTAATTTAACACCTGCCGCTAATGGACCGCGCTAGGAAATACATATTGTTCGCGTTGCACGTGTTAAGCGCGCGCTCGTGGGAGTTTCACGAGCGAACGGGTTAATTCGCCGCGTGTATCGCAATACGATCTTTCCGCGGTGTGTATGATGATAAATGACGTGACAACTCGCCACACCGGAGCGGTTCCTTCTCTCTTTTTCTCCCTTTCCCTCTCGCTTTTTCCCTTTTCTTCTTTTTTAAGCGGCGTGGCGAATCAACTCGTCACGCTCGAGCGGCGTTACATCTCGTGACGAAGCGCCGCGTCGCGCGTTGTTAAAAAATTAACGAAACAATGCGCCGGCTGTCGGTGTCGTTTAACCCTGTCGCGTATCGAGCGTGGCGATTTCATTACGTTACACGTAATCGGCCCTCTACGATTCCTACGTGCGTTTCCTTGAATCTCCCGTCTAAATTATCGTGCAATTGAGCCCCGAGCGAGACCGACTTTTGCCGCGTTCGCGGTCACACCCCGCCTCTTCTAATCTACTCGCTTTGTACTCGGTTCTCGATTATCGGCGGTCCGGTGGTATCGCGGGATCCACGCGGTCGGAGGGACGGCGCGTAAAAAATAACGCACGGGATCGGGGCAAGAGAGACCTCGCGCTTTCGTCGGAAGCGAGCCTCTCGAAGCGCAGTCTTTGTGTAGCCACAAAACGATCTGTAGAGCCAATATAATTCAAAGCCGCCAAGAGTGGCACCCCCCACGTTAACGATAGCGCCGCCCCTGAGCATCAGTATGCTAATCCGATGATTGGCTATGTTCCAACCCCGATCCCTCTCGCACCGCGCCACTCTCTTTCTCCCGCGGTCTCTTTCTGTCGGCGTTTCCCTACCCGTGCCCTCTCTCTTTCTCTCTTTCCGGTTTCCCTGTGGCTTCCTGATGGCATCCAACCACCCTTAACCGAAACCATAAGCCAAAACTAACCCTTATTCTAATTAGGCGGTGCCGCGGCGACGCGCCCCCTGCTTTGCATATTTTCTCGATTAACCTCGCCCTTTCTTTATCCGCTCGACGTCGCAGGCTGCCGCAATTTTCCGAAAATTTTCTGACCCGCGACTCGCGCCGTCCTTTTTTTCTTCGCCCTTTCCGCGTAACGCAACGCACTTCTCGATACGAGACGCGCCGGCGCCGCAGCGCGGAGCGCTCTCTTTTATTTGCGAAATTTTAAGAGTTCCTTAACTACATAGCGGGGATTAGGAGCAGCTTAAATTGTTATGCATAGCAAGCTAATTTCATCAGGACCCACTCGAGTTTTCACCCCGCGACCAATGGGATCGAAATGAGTTTCCATAGCGGCCCGGTCCACGGCAACGACGGGCCAGCCTCCCCTCCGAGAGATCGCTCGCCGACATAAGCTCATAAACCCGCAATATTGAATATAAATGGACGGCACTGGCGGCGATGCGGAGTGCAAATGAGCCCTGTGAAACCAACCCTTAGCCCAGGGGGTGACCCTAAGGTCGGCATAATAGCGTCGATCGAGGGGAAGCTCGAAAGGTCTACGATCAATTAGGTCGACCCCGAAGACAGATTCGCGCTCTTCGCTCGTTACGAAACGCGATTCGAAGAGAGAGGGCATACCCGCTTTGCATTTAGGGTAGTTTTCAATCCGTCCTACTACCGCACATTTCCGAGCCGCACGACTCTCGTCGTGGGACGCTCGGACGTGCTTAGCCTAGTGATTTTTTAACTCTTTCCTGATTAGCGCGTGATTTTTACAATTTTTTTATCGAGGGGCAAACCGCTGAGGGCATTGTGGTGTGCAGATTTGCGGCCCGCTTTGCATTTAGGGTAGTTTCCAATCCTACTACCGTAGATTTCCGAGTCGCGCGACTTTCGTCGTGGGACGCTCGAAGAGGTGCTTAGCCTAGTGACTTTTTAACTCTTTCCCGACTGTTAGTGGCGCGTGATTTTTACAAACTTTTTAGCGAGAGGCAAACCGCTGAGGGCATTGTGGTGTACAGATTTGCGGCATTACTGGACATCACTAGGCATTTTTGGGTATTATAAAGATAAAATAAGATAAAACAATATAATAAGATAAAGTAATGTTCGCTGGGCATTAGTGGGCATTGGCGTACAGGATTTTGGTCAGCGGTTTTCCCCTCGTTTTTTAGTAAATCTCGCGAGGCCGAAACGGAGCGAGTTAAATACTTCTTTCGAGAACACGGACATACATGTAGCAAAAGGTTCGCGTAGTACATTTGGCGTAGAACTTCTTAATTTCAGGAAAGCGTCAAAAAGTGCACCGCCTTAAAAATTTTGCAGTTTTGAAAGCGATACTCACTTTTTCTCGCGCTTCCCCGCGCCAGTATCCCGAAATCCTTTCGCGAACGGGTTGTTATCGATCTTCAGTTGGGTGATCTGCAAACAAAATGATTATATTTGAGCATGAATTAAAAAAAAGAATTGCAAATTGAACGGATCTTTCGTCAGGCCCCGGATTTAACAGGCCTGTAGACTCTCGACTGCGCTTTCTCGCTGTGCTCCGATTGATGTACCGAGAAGGCGCGATAATTAAGATAGAAATACATTAGCCGCACATATAAGCGACCTACCAAAAATCTGTAATAAGGCCCGGTTTCTTCTTGTGGCCACGTGCGTGCGTGCGAGCGACTCGTTCACTACTGAAAATAACGCGTACCGGGAAGACGTCATTCCACGAAACGACGTCTTCCATGACTTTATCAAGACGCAGAAGCGGGGAGAAATATTAATTAACGGAAGGCCAGTAACCAAAACGACCCACTCTCTCTGATCGTAACGCGAGATTGTTCCTTTCTAACGAATTCTCGCCGCGCCGCGTGCGAGCTTTACATTTCCTCTGCGATAAAGCGGTCAATTTTTGACACATGAAAAGGAGGACTTGTATTTTTTCATCTATAAATTTTACGAGGAGAAAAAAGCGCTATGTAAATTTTGTAATTAGAGAGAATGCCATCTCCAGTCAGGCTGGATTTGTGTAACCTAATATTTTGTGCGAGTTTATATTTTTTCACTTCGCAAACTGTGCGCTGACCATTTGTCAAGTCTCGAAACACAGTTCTCGTTGGAACACGGAATTCATACAATTAAATCTGTAATCGATTTCTGAGGCTAGTAAGCATCCCTTAACTAAAGTACAGAATCTAAAATAAATCAACTGAACACCCTCAGAAAGGATTTCTGTTACCGTGACAAAACATATTCTTGACGCATTTACATTTTTCACAACCTCATTTAGTACAAAAATAAGACAATATCAAAATAAAATCAATAATTCTTACTCTCCTCTATCGAATTAAAAAAGATTGACTTACTATATTGAGACAAGAGTAACTTA